TATGTCTGAAGTTGGGTTTATAGCCCTGTTCTATTTATTACACTTGATTTGTTTTTTCCCAAAGGTTTGTTGACCATTCCGAACTATGACTCCCTCGGCGTCAATGGTTTCTTGTCTGATATTGTGGATCCGAAAGTGGATGAGGAACAAGGTAAGTATATTTATATCCAAATTCACTGAAAATATACACATATATGGGCTTTTTCATTCCCTAAATAATTCAACCGTAACACCTTCATGATAAGACTTTCTAATCTCGCTGTATGCCCCTCAAAACGCATCAGCCACGTCCTCTGTTTGAAATGTTAGTTTTGTCCATATAGTGCCCTTGACTACCAGTGAACCTGTTTTTCCACTTAATTTTTGCGAACGGGCCACTTCTTTGAAATGGTAAGGGACCCTCTTTTAGATTTTCAGGAAAAACTGACTAATAAAAATGTTCATAATTGCCACAAACTCACAAATACAGTGTGCGCTTGCTGCAGCGCTTTACTAACACTTCATTTTCATGTTATTCTGCTGAATACGAAGCAATGTGACGCGGCATAGTCGATGTCACCGCTTTATCTCTGCAACCAACAAGTGGGTATACAATTGCTAATATTGCGTTTCTTTTAGGTTCCTGTTAGAGTATTTTTCTAATAATGTCAATTGTTGACTTTAGACTCCGCCGTTCTCATGTTCAATGCTCCCGAGGCCCACATAACTGTCCTCCAGCGTCCCTCGGTTAGTCTGCTCTTGAAGCACATCGAGGCACACTTTGGTTCACTGCCTCTTCAACTTTGCCTGGTCTACTCAGGTCTAATCTGCGAATCCACTGGGTACTGGCTTCTAAGGGACGGTATTTTCAAGCCAAGTCTGTTGTCGGACGGAATTCGCTCCCTTTCAGAAAAGATGGTGCAAACACTGGTAAGGTTCTGTGTACGTATTTAGGTTTGCATGGTGCCAAAGAAGCAGTTTCTGTCCTTAAAGTTGTGAAAATTATTTGTCTAGGAAAATCTCATGTGAGGACATAGTCAGCTGAGGTGTTTGATCTTTGTACGAAGAACATATCAGAACTTGATCATATTTGCTTGAGCTCGTCATGAATAAAACACCCTGGCAGTTCCTGACAGTGGTCTACTGTCACGCCCCCATGACAAATATCCTTCTAGGAAATTGTTTTCGCTTGCTCATACGTCATCGCTAGGATCATTTTACTAGTTTTCCAGGTCTTAGTTTGTTTTATACATTTGGAGCCTCCTGCCCAACCATATCATCATGTGCCTAAAATAAGTTCTCTGATATTATACGAGTACAGCTGTAGACCAAACCCGGTTGCCAAAGCGGGTCTTTTGTCTGTAGATCGCAATTAAAATTCGATCTATAAGCAGCAGCAACAGCTCAAGTTAGTTTGGCCTCACGTAGTTCTATGGTTACCCATCGCGTTTCATATACCATGCAGCCTCTTCCCTGTCTACTTTGGCATCAATTCGTTGTTTTAAGAACGAATCACCTGGACGACTTATCTGGCTTCAATTTTCGCACTTTTATCCACCTTATCCGTCGTTTTATATTCATAATTTTTTGTAAGAAGGGGCTGTTCGAATGTCAAAAACATGAACAGAACGTTCCTAACTATACTTCTGCTGTTGGCTTGACGCCTGTTGTAGAATCACAGTAGCATGATCTACCACTCATCGATATTATTAGAGTTGAGACAGTTAAATACTAGGTGACAGTAAGAGATAAGTAGATTATGCCGCATACTGAGGCTACGAAGTATAATGTCTGATCGCCGTCAACGTAACGGTGAGGTTGAAAAGGACTTATCCAATGTAATTACCAACTAGACCAACCATTATTTTACATTGCAGTACGAATTGTTACTTTTGTTCATCAGCTTAACAACTATTAAGTTTCGCATATCTAGACAGATTTTTCACACCGCCTTGTACTTAATGTTACATCTTTTATTTTTTTGATATCACCACCTGCATGCAAACAAATAGGGAGCTCAAAGGTACACACCTAAATTTCTTTCAAATAAACTCAGCTAACCCGAACACATATGTTTCTATTTACAGTAGTAGAGCCTTTAACTAAAGTGGTCGGGGACTAAATGACTCGAACTGTGCTGTCAGGCCTGCCTGAGCTGGGGTGGGGTATTATGACTGCTAGCGACGGCGAATGAACCCCAGACTTCGTTATTAACGCCTCTTGGCACGTAATTACTGTCTTACTAGTCATGTAGCTTATCAT